TATAACTGCGCTATATTTGCCATTAAATAATAGATTTAAACTAGATAACGTCCAGGCAATAGCAGCTTGTGTACCTTACTATATATATGCATGAATAATACAGCACGACTTGACATGTAGTGGATTCATCATTTACGAGCAATAACGCAGCGATAACACGCGCTTCGTGTTGCAATAAACGTAACGCTCATACACAGACGCCGTTGAATAGACTGCCAATGGGAAACACCATTATCATCGATCACGCTAGGTCGTCGCATGAGTTTACGCCGCTAGGTGGCAGCCTGAATCCAGCCAGACGTCATCACCGTAATCAGTCAATTATAAATATACGCGGGACAATATGCTGACAGGAAAAACTACGGCAAAGCTGGTGCAGTTTCTGACAGCAGAAATACTTCAAGACATAAATGAGTAAAGAACCCGTACTGTATGCACACACACACACACGCACGCACACACGCACGCACACACACACACACACACACACACACACACACACACACACACACACACACACACACACACACACACACACACACACACACACACACCACACATGTTAGGAGTCATGCCATTATCTTATATGAGAATTACTCGCACACTTCACGATTCATTTCATTCCATACTTCAATAAGATAACTATATCTCACTATATCTCACTATATCTCACTATATCTCACTATATCTCACTATATCTTATAAGAATTATCTTCGAATACGATAACTATTCTAAGATAGAAAAATCATCAAACATAAATTTGTAATCACCAGCAACGTTAACGACGGTAACTCGCTCTCACTTCGCCTTTCATGGTCAATGTCGCGTCGGTGCGATGCAGATTGTCGCGTCGGTGCAGATTGTCGCGTCTGGTGCGCATGCAGATTGCCTTCCGCAGACCCTTATTGCGTATTTTTTACTGCGTGATTTTTTCGCGCGGTTCGTCTGCTGATGGTAATGCACGTCACGCTCTCCAATTTATCGACGAGTGAGCAGTTATGAGTGGCATCCTTCAACATCCCACTTCAATCTCCTTCTGCCGTGATAATGGCCGCGTAGCAACGGGTAAACAAACTTCTGCAAACAGCCGAGAATCGCGCTTAACGATGAGTCTTGATGCGATAACGATGTGTGTGTGTGTGTGTGTGTGTTGTGTGCGTCCGCGTGCGTGTGTGTGTGTAGTGCGTGTGTGTGCGCGGTGTGTGTGTGTCGTGTGTGTGTGTGTGTGCGTGCGTGCGTGCGTGTGTGTGTGTGTGTGTGTGCGTGTGTGTGCGCGTGTGTGTGTGTGTGCGTGTGCCTGCGTGCGTGCGTGCGTGCGTGCGTGTGTGTGGCGTGTGCTGTGTGGCGTGTGGTGTGTGTGTGTGGTGTTGTGCGTGCGTGCGTTGCGTGCGTGTGCGTGCGTGCGCCGCGTGGTGCGTGTGGTGTGTGTGTGTGTGTGTGTGTGTGCGTGCGTGCGTGCGTGCGTGTGTGTGTGTGTGTGCGTGTGTGTTGCGCGTGTGTGTGTCGTGTGTGTTTGCGTGCCGTGCGTTGGCGTGCGTGTGCGTGCGTGCGGCGCGTGCGTGCTGTGGGTGTGTGTGGTGCTGTGTGTGTGTGTGTGTTGTGTGTGTGGTGTGTTTGTGTGCGTGTGTGTGCTGCGTGCGTGTGTGCGTGCGCTGCGGTGCGTGCGCTGCGTGTTGTGTGTGTGTGTGTGTGTGTGTGCGTGTGTTTGTGTGGGGTGTGTGTGCGTGCTGTGGTGTGTGCGTGGTGCGCGTGCGCTGCGTGCGTGTCGTGTGTGTGGGTGTGTGTGTGGTGTGCGTGTGTTGTGTGGGTGTGTCTGCGGTGCCGTGCGTGTGTGCGTGCGTGCGTGGTGTGTGCGTGCGTGCGTGTGTGCGTGCGTGCGTGCGTGCGTGGGTGTGTGCGTGCGGAAGTGTGCGTGGTGTTTCTCCTCTTCGTTGTCGTCGCTGTCAGCCGAGCGTGATGCCTAGCTTACATACGTTGTTGACATCACGCATGCACGGTCACGCTCCCACCACACGCCACTATTTATGTACGCATAGGAGCACGCACACCACGCGTATATACACGCACGCCATGCGCGCCTCTCTTATCCTCTTCCTCTCTTCTCTCTCTCTCTCATCTCTCTCTCTCTCTCTCTCTGTTGTCTCTCTCTTTACCTTTTTATCTTTTCTATCTATCTATCTATCTACTATTTACTATCTATCTAATCTATCCTTTATCTATCTATCTATCTATCTATCTATCTATCTATCTATCTATTTATCTATCTATCTATCTATCTATTATCTTATCTATCTATCTATCTATTCTATTCTATCTATCTATCTATCTATCTATCTATCATATCTATCTATCTATCTATCTATCTATCTATCTATCTATTATCTATCTATCGTATCTTATCTATTTATCTATATACATATATTTAATATATATATAATAAATAAATTTATCTATCTATTTAATATATATTATACATATATACATATATATACATCTTTAGCCCTCTCTGCTTGCAGGATGAGACAGGCCGGAGACTCCGCCGCCGACGACGACGACGCCGACGACCTGCGCACGGTCGTCGCCGCGCTGCGCACCGAGCTGCACGACACCAGGGCGCACTGCGATCGCCTCGACGCCGAGAAGGTGGCGCTGGCGTCGCGCGGGGCTCCGCTCTACGACGCGGGGATGGCTGAAGAGTTGATCTCTCAGCGAGACAAGATGGCGACCACCGAGCACGCCTACTCCCTGCTGCTAGGCGAGAATGCGTCGATGAGACGCGAGATCAGTGCTCTGCAGGTGGAGATAGACGAAATGCAGGACCAGTTTCGCGAAGAGGAGGCTGAGGAGTTCCGTGAGACTCAGCGCGAGCTGGAGATGGCAGCAAAGAACTGTCGCATCTTACAGTACAAGCTGCGCAAGGCAGAGAAGCGTAACGAGACTGCCGAAGCAGACCGGCAACACTTCGAGGAGCGGTTACGGGAGTTGGAGGAGAAGTCTTCGAGCACGGAGGAGGAGCAGAGAGCGATACGGGAGCTAGAGGAGGAGCTGATCGTTGCTAAGGAGGTGTCGGTGCGGCTGCATGATGAGCTAGAGGCGAGCGAGGAGCGGAGAGGACGCACGGAGGAAGACTACGAACAGCTACAGCGGCAGCTCGCCGACGCCGTACAGGAGAAGCAGAGACTGCAGACACACGTCGCCAGAGTGTCGGGCAAGGTGAGAAACTAACGGTGTTCCTGCGTTAGCGCGAGGACGTGTTCGGCAGTCTAAACCCGTAGAAGTAGGTTACGAAGTGTCGGGGTGGAATTCGTACAAAACACTCATCGCTGTATCCGTTTAAGTTCGTATGTTATTTCTATTTGTATCTACGGTCTATGCAACACACTAACAATCTTTTGAAAAGGAGGACAACTTGCAACTGCAACTTTACAACGTTCGTCTAGTTTAACATAGAACGGAAATCCGTGTCATAACAGTTTTCATGATCAACGGTACACACTGCTACATGTTAAGCATAAACAAGAATAAGGCCCCGGGTAAAGTCTGCGCTACAATAATACTCAGTCAGCAGTGCGACTAATAACAAGGTTTAAAAAAACATTCTCCCGTCCGTCTGCTCAAACGCCGGCGCGCGCCTATTACCGCATCACAGACAAGATGGCGGCTGTCGTTGTTTCCAGCAGGAATGCGTACTGGCGTCTCACTGCGCGATTACTCTCATGCATGTATTATATTTGCCATATGCCGCCTTATTGTTACACTCGCGCAGCCATCAACGCACTTGCGCTCATTGCGTTTTAATAGACATTTAACCGCTAAAAGTTCCACACAGAGGTTTCTAAGTGGTAATTAATGAGCTTGATTCGCTAATGGTGCGACGGCAGCAGGCCGATACGCGGTCATGTACGACGCATACACGACGTCGGCTTTGCTGCACAATCGAGCAGTTACACGTGATAATCGTACCAAACTAACGTGCGATGACAACCGAGTGACGTATCCAGTGCTATATAGCTACTGCGGTATAGTGCGGTGAGTGGAAACAGCTTGACGCTCATGAAGGCGTGATTCCCGCGATCAGATTCCACGCCGCACGCGATTTCGTGATCCAGAGAGACATGATTCAAGATTGCGTGGCACAGCTTTGCTGTTGATACTGAGCGCTGCAGCATGCATCGGCCGGGCATTTCATTATTTAAGAAAAGTATACAGGCTGGCGAAAGACAGTAGGTACAGTAACTGGTCACGTCGGTGCCGCCCAATTCATGTCCATGAACGAAGAAGGCGGAGCTGATTACGGGGATGCGACAATTCAACAGAAGGACGTAGCGCAGTGCGCTAAACAGCGTGTTATTTTCGTATTTGTGGCAAACTCTATCGTAGGAAACCGTTCTAACATAGCAGAATGCCCTAGTTTCTTGAGATCGGCGATTTGGTGGTCCAATGGGTCCCCATCTTTAAAAATATAAAAGACTGGTGCGGCGTAGGCTGTGATTGGAAGACACAGAGTGTCAATCCTCGGCGCGCCTCGGCATCATGGCCGCATCACGTCATCGCTGTTATGTCGAATGCGGGCGGTAGTATGGGCGCGTGGGGTGGGGGTGGGGGGGGTCGTTAGTATGGGCGCGTTGGAGGGGGGGCAACGGTAGCAGCAATAATGGTTTCTCCTCTCATCTTACGCTCTCCCTACACCTCTCACTTCTACTTCTCCTGACTCGCTGTTACGACCGTGTTATGGGCATAGGGGGGGGGGGCGGTAGCGTAGGGTAGGGTAGACGGACGGTAGGGGACGGTAGCGTAAGACCCGCTTCTCCTCTCATGTCACGTTCTCCCTTCTACTTCCCCCCTCCGTTCCCAGCTCTGTGGCATCCTTACCGAGACACAGCAGAGACCGAGGCCGAGGCTGAGACTGAGAGAGAGAGAGAGAGAGACTGAGAGAGAGAGAGAGAGAGAGACTGAGAGAGAGAGAGAGAGAGAGCGAGAGAGAGAGGGAGAGAGAGCGAGGCAGCAGCGGTGTTGCAGGCGTCTGATTGTTGACAGTGTTCTCCGACGTGGCGGCATTTTTGTTCGGCTGCTTATGATGATGGAAAAAGGCAAACAATCTGATCATGAATTTTGCTCTGCCGCACTCAATATTTTACGACACTTTGTTAAGTACACAGCTGACTTGCTTCGGTAAACGTAGGGGAGGGAAACAGGAGAGAGAGAGAGAGAAAGAGAGAGAGAGAGAGAGAGAGTAGGAGTGCTAGAGAAATGCACACAGAGACAGAACAAGACGGAGTGAAAAAAGAGAGGTTGAGGGTGAGAGAAAGAGAGACACATTGTGAGACAGGCAGAAATAAGGGGAGACATAGAGAGACAGAGAGAGAGAGAGAGGGGAAGAGAGCTAGATAGAGGGAGATAGAGA